GATTCTAATTTCCATAGTCAGATCGATGTTTCATAAAGAATATCCTCATTGTGATTTTTGAAAGCAGTTGTAGCGAAGGAGCTTACTAAGGTGGCCCCGAAGCATACGTGAAAGCCGTATACTTCGGGACCATGTGTGCGTACATGTGCACATCCCTAATGGAACACGAATAGAGAAATGTTGCTCTCAAACTAGCCTCAAGCTAGATTCGAAGCGAGTATTCGCCTGTGTGCTTTTTGAAGACACGTAACAGCTAGCGGCTTGCTAAATTTGTAAATAGCACGCTTCGTTTTGCGAAAGTAAGGAGCATTTTTCACGGGTTATTTTTCAAAACGGTAGTCGCCGCGATAAGATTACTTCCAAGATATTAATGAATGCCGCTATCAGAGATTCTAGACGACTTCTGGATAGCTTTGGTTAACGACTCTGCAGCTATGAAGACTCTTCGACCTTCCTTCGCTTCATTGCAAGGCTTGACGGCAAAAACGAAGTTCTTCATGCTGTCAAGGCAATGAATATGCTACAGTACAACCATATTATAACAGTATATTCTCATTAGGTATTTTATTAGGACACTCCGGTAATTTAGGCCAGGTCTCAATGTAAGAGAGAGCTTAGAAAAGGGGAATTTTTTTTAAAGTAGAGACTTATATCAACGGCACCTTGAAAAGACCTAGCACGGTCTAGAGCTATATACGTACGTACGTACGTACCGAAACGGATGAAAACATGTGTACTGTAATAATAAATGTACTTTCGATTTTGGGCCGTTGTGAGTAGTACTTAAATAATTCTCTTCGGTCAAATCTCGTCATTAGTGCAGATTTTAGTGGCAGCTCGATGCAATCACGACCGCTGAGAGAACTGACGATATGGCTTCCCGCTTCTCAGAGGGCTCAGGAGGTGCTGAAGTCCTCGATTTTGACGGTTGATGATAACCGCTCAACAAAACGACTAAAAGGATTCACGCGACTGACAGCCGTCAAATGCTGGCCTCAGGACCAAACCGTGTGACAGGTATATTGGGTAGGAACGATCTCCAGGTCGTATCGTACGCAAATAAAACTATCCCGAGAAGCTTCCGAATCTCGAGTCTTTATTAATATCAAACGGGTTTTGATGGACAGTCCGGAGCACAACTATGTCTGCGCTGTTTTTCTGCTTAATATAAAAAGAACCGCAGGGCCTATCACTTTCGTACAGCTCTTCATAGCGGGGAATCCGTACGGCACTTTGATAGAGAAGGTTCAACGCTAAACGCTGGAAGATTATACGAGGGGTAAGTCTTCGGCGGACGAACCTAGCTATGAGTTACTCGATCAGTCCTCCCGCGACGAACTGCACCAGCGGTATTCGCCCTTTCTGTCACTAAGGTCGTTCGGGCTTGACAACGACCGTCCGTCAATTAATGTCTCGCTACTTGAGGGAGCGCAGGGTGTGGGGGGAAGTATATTCGCAATTGCAAAAGCTGTCAGAAAACGAAGCCGAGCTGCGAAATGTCGGTCGCTCTAGACGACAATAGATCTTCCGATACGGTTTTTTTGTCATGGTGAGTCAGATCTTATGGGGCCGCTGCAGCTCCCGAAACGTACTCCCTTATTCATTCTGTTGGATATGAATTACTCTACTGGTTTCCTTCATTTCTTCCCAGGTCATCGAATAAAAGGTCGGGTCGTACTAGAGACTCTCCGTTAGAATCGCTATGGAGCCAGAAGCGTCGCCGTTACGTGCTGGCGTATCGAGCAGCGTTTGAAGCGCTCCAACATGTGAAGACTGCTGTAGCTCACATGCAAGTGAACGATCCGCCCATATACCGCCTGGCTACCTGCGCAGTTGCTCGCAGCACCCACTATTGCGATGTTTCCAGTGTTCGGTAAACACTACGATAGGCGAAGCCCTAGGCGCCATAAATTGCGCTATGCATCGCTCAGCTGTATTGCCTCCGAAGTCGCGATCAGCTAAACCGCGAGGCCGCTTCGTATCCCAGCTTCCGAATCCTTGAAGTCCTTGCGCTAGGCGTTTTAGCCGGAGGAGTCCGTACACTTACGCTGCTCTCGCCCATAAGTCGATACGTTCTTCCTAGGTATGAGCCTGGATGAAGCATCTAGAAACGAGTTGAACGGTTGCGCAGTCACGGTAGCAGCGTGTCAGCGTGAATCTTAACTAGTATGAGATAACCGCCCGACAGTGTAGTTGAAACGAACGGGAAAATTATATTGTGTTAGGAATAACGTTGAATATCCCACAAGTATGCTCCACAAATAACGACAATTCTCGATCTCGATCATATACTCTGGGTGGGAATTTGAGCTGATGAAGCCAAGTCTGATACTTACCCGTACGTCTGTTTATGATTACTTTGAATGTTCAATCTATTTAATATAAACGTCGATATCCAGCAATATCAGCTACGATAGCAATGTACGGCGGAGTAACACTCCTATGTAAATATTATCAACCTTATATAGGCGGAGGAGTCGATCTAAAAAATCACACTGCCATCATGCTGATCACATACTATGCTCGAAATTCCCTTTCGTATACACTTTGGAATACCGAATGAGCCAAAAATGTGGCCGTTTGTATTGCTGCTAGACCGAGGTCAAAGCCAAAAATTGCCAGACTTTGAAGGAATACAGTAGGTTTTATTTTAATTTGTTTTAATTTAAATAGGCGAAAGATATTTCGAGAATTACAGAATGTTTTCAAATCATTAACTCTCTACTGTGAAATGACGCTTCCCATGCCGCGTCTTACTTTGACGGTCTAACATTATATATATATATATATATATATATATATATATATATAATACCAAAAAGCTATCACGTGCTATGATATTATGTTCTACCGCGTGTAGGTACAATCTTGTGTGTGGCCTAAGTTTATCATATTCCATGCGAACGCATGGATGCCCCTGAGGTGCGGGTGCATCCAATGGTACGGTATCAGCTGTTCCAATGCATTAACAGTCAGGTCATCCATTTATTCGTTGTCTGATTTCACATTGGTCGTGTTCTGCCTACAACTGCCCGAATCAACGGAACTAATAGATGGACTGATTCACACTTTTAGCCGATTGTGTCCTGGTAATAGCTCAAGCGGTGTTAGGCGGGGTCACATTGCTGAGCAGTAGTTTTCATTAGTCATGGAATTGTTATGAAATTCTTCGTCTTGACGCTCTCTGAGTATTTTTTTTGGTAAAAAAGAGGAGATCTCCTAGCAACCCATGTATCTAACTGATAGCGCGATGCACGTAGTGATGAATCTTCCTTACGTATTGCGGGGCGTGATCCTACGGACCTCCGTGCTCTTCAGGTTGAGCTAACGCGCGTAACCTGCGCGTACTTGATGAACCTTGAGCGCACCCGTCTCCATCAATTAGGCCAAGACGCGTCTGGATCATCGTTAATCATAGAATTGGTAGATATGCTGATAATCTGTCGATATGCTCACTATGGCATCTACTGATATATATGATCGATACTTTATAATTGGTTCGGCTACATCTACTCCGGCTACATCCGTTTGATAGGATTTATGCTGCAGGAATTAAGCGTAAGCCAAATAACTACTAAACGTTTAATCGTGCAAATGCTATTGGGGTATATAACAATATGGGCGGTGTAGATGAGGCTAAATCTGGGTACAACCTGCGCGTCAGCATCTTCGAATAACACTACAGCTGTACGAATAGAAGCATCGGTATATATGCGTATCCGATTAAAGATGTAATTTGTTGTCTTCGCCTAGATCCGTCTAAATTAATATGAGGGTAGTAATGCGAACAGCTGCCCTTTAACCCCTGTCATCGATTTTCCCGATGAAACCGTTTCACAATTGGAAAGCACGACCAGAGGACCTCCCAGTCAAAATGCGAGTATCAGATTGAGCAACGAAGTTCCTTTCGGCTCGTTCTTCATTCTCCTACGTGGTCCTGCATTCAGCAAAGCTCTAGTTGCATTATCGCACCGTTGACGATTATCCATTTTGAAGGTGGAACAAGAAGAGCAGCTTTACAATCTATTACAGGAACTTCCGTAATTAACTGGGTCCTTTTAAGGCTCCTTGACTCTGTTACTACGTTCGAAAACACTGAACGATTTTTGTTGGACACGCTAAGAACGTTTAACATCAAACTACGTGGGTAAGTAAACAATGGGATAATAATGTATTAAGATTTCATGCTGTATTGCGTTTTACTGTTTAGGTTAGCATTTGTTGCGGTCGCCATTCCTATTCATTCAGTTTGACAAATAGTGACATCAATCGATCGGAAACCGATCAGTGTCAAGGCAAAAGAGTATGCGTATATTAACGTAGATTTTTGCGTGATAAGCAAAGCGTTCCTAACCATTGAATCACGACCGTCGAGGCATTTATTAGGAAACGACAGGATCGTAAGAATTTTTCTGTTCGCTAGGATATCCCTGCGCGCTGGAACGCTAAACGTTATTTTTGACACGCTAACAGTATCGAAATAAGGTACCGGATGCGTGTACGAACTAGTACGTATTTAATCGTGACGTTTGCCTGCAACAAATCCGGTCATGGAAGCACAGAATCATCGGATCAATCTTTGCGAGTCGGCTCGTCTCGCTGAACCTGTGTTACATTGATGAATATTCGCTGGTGATCCCCAAATATACCGAAAAGCCAACGAACAATACCGCTCAGAATATATCGAAGGTGATACTTTTCTGACAACACAGATATAAGATCTAACATGTACTGAAACAGTAGACAATAACATATGAGTACGATTTTTAAATGGCGTGAACATGGGCCCCACGGTTGCCACACGAAGATGTCGGCCAAAGTACCAAAGCACTGAAGCCCAATTTGCGTCTGTTGTGCAGGGGGAAAAAGAGAAATTCTTTTCGGATAGAAATGAAGTGTCGATTTTTTTGTCACGCTGCCATAGGATAGGGTAAATGTCTATTTTTTGCTGTCATATCTGTTAAGTGTACAGCGACACCGTTGACATAACGCCTACTTACCTTCACGCTTAACGTTGCTACTAGCTGGCATATGGGATGGCAGAGGTCCACCTCCACGTTCCATCAACCTATCAAGGTTGACAAGGTACGCTCCGCCCACCAGTGGGATCATCATGACACCTATAGCTGCGCCCGCTATGGCAACAAGCGCAATCTTTCCGTTGACTCTATTCATCTGAAACGAAATGTTACTATTAGATTATTTTTCAGTGATCTTAGGACGAACAAACGTGTGTATGTTGCTGCGTTCATAAATTTGCTCGGTCTGTCTGAGAGTCGTTTATTATGGATGATTTCAGCCGATTTGGCTATAAACAGAGCTCTATAAACTATAAACTGGCTATAAGCTGTCCTACTTATAGTGATTAAAGAAGTTCACAGTATTGTGACTAGAAATGTACGCTGTGCACGTTCATGTGTTGGTGGCATTCGTGGGAGCCGAATTTAATTTCTTTAAAAATCGAGCTGCCTCGTTTGTTACGAACTAAGCAATAACTAGGCTGGCAAATCCAACAAAAAAAAAAAAAAACGGAAGAGGAGACTTTGTTATGAAATTTAATAATCTGCTTTATTACCAATTGAAGACCTATTTGGATATCTACTATTTTTTTTGCAATTCATTTCGATCGCTTTCAGCAATTTTCTTAAGCAGCTACGAAGACCTCTCTAAGCTTCGAGTTTTACGTCCGGTATCGCCGGCAGGCATTCCATCAGACACACAAACGGCTGGCTAGTTGAGGAAGCCGTAATACTAGCAAAATGTTCACATTAAATCGACTGTATTTTGAAAAGTCTCAGCGTGCTTGATTAAATGAAGTCGAAACAAAGCTGACCCAAAACAATAACTGTTTTCTGGTATTGATTCTTCTAAAGGAGGCCCATTTCAGATTGGCTTCTTCTCTTAGGGTAGCTTAGTTTCCAGTGAAAGCGTCAGCTTTATCGGATGTACTAAATCAGCCCTCGGTTCATCGGAAGTTCTGCTCACGCCTCCACCGACCGCTTTCTGTCCGAGAACAGAGGCAGCTTCGTCCTTCGGCTGAGCTTCGTCAGTTATCGAACGGTATTGACACAAAATTACTTTACCAGTATGATGCGATTTAGCCACTTGACAACAGATAAGTCTGGCAGCAGGCAAAAGAACCAAGATGGAAAGTTTCATGACTGCTCGTTACCCCGTGTGAATATTGTACTTTTCCGCTCCTTTGATTTGCTGCCAGAGTCACCCAGGAATGAAATAAGCACCGAAACCTATTTAACCAACTGGAAATCTTCAGGACAAGTTGTTGCTTACACACATCTGATATGTGTGTGGACCCTTGTTATTAATGATTACACCACCATATATATATATATATATATTAATTTTGCCTATCTTGTCTGTGGGCACGCTGATTAACGTCGCCCACACAGACTATCATAAGCCTTTGAAACGTTATATCCTTTCATTCAAACGAAAACTAACATACCGGTATTAATATGCCCACCACCTACTCAAAGCTACTATCGTAAGGAGGTAAATGGGTGTTATCTAAGTGCATGCTCATAACAGTGCACTCGAGTCGTATCGCACGTCATTTGTTATATAATCAGTATATCTATGCGAGCGTACGTACGCCTTCCCGGGCCTACGTTTGCCTCAAGCTCAATTATGAAGAGTTGCTTGACTGAACAGTAGCGGCCACAGCAGTCAATCGCATCGCTTATAGAAGCACCGATGGCCGGCGACGTGGTCGCCAAGGTATCTTCGACCTCTGGCCTATAAAGGCCCCCCTAGGGATTCGATTGACTCCATCGACCGAGCAATCGTCCGTCTGTTCGTCCAATTTCTGTTCCTACCCATGCCGCCCCCTTCCCTGTTCCTGCGTTCAATTTCCGCAGTCTCTCGCACACTCGAACTTCTCCTGGGGCGCACGCGTGGCCGGTGCTGCACCTTTCTGCGGGACACTGCGTAGGAAAGACGTATTCATACTTAAAACATTGGAGTCGCTTGTCTACTTGCCATTTATTCATGGCTTCGATTATGAATCGACTCTTGCATTGTTAGCAGTGGCAAGCTCTAACATACCGCACCGCCAGTCAGGCCACGAAAACTAGGCTACTAAAGCCACAAAACCCGCAGCGAGACCAAAATGGCTCTTCCCCTCGATTCCTCCGATGGGTCTCCCGTGGTGCGAACGTCGGACGGCTGCGGCGGGACAGATGAGGAAAAATTGGCGTTCATACCGGCCAGTTTCAAATAAGTCAAGAGCCATTCGCGTATTAAGGCGACGCCAAGATGGAGTGCAAGGCGGTCTGTAGACCGAGACAAATCGTCCGACTGAATGAATATGAGATAGCACAATATCACACGTCGACGATTATTAACACTCGTCTCTGTATATCTAGAACACGAATAGTTCCGATATCAACGGAACAGATGACGCTGCTCTGTAGAGCACCAAAAACTTCTAATAGAAAATGAATACAACCTCTCAACTACTATCGGATTGAGTGTACAAGCTTGAGTAGAGAATAACAGGCGATGCATAAGATAAAGCGAGATATTATTTCAGATGTTTTTTAAGTGTCCGAACACTGGCGAAAGTTTGGGCAGATCTGACCGTATCGATCGAGCCAGCTTAATTTCGAATACGAGAGCTGCTTCTAAATGAGCATATCTCCTAAACTACGTACCTTAACATATTCGACAAGCGTCAAATAACTAAAAGGATCAGTTCTGCTTTCCGTATAGGAAGTGCTTTTCTATTAAGAGGTTATTTCCCGTTGAGATAGATCAATTATCCCCTGCGATTTGCTAATACATCATATTGTATTTGGGAATGCAAGCCACATCGTTGCAGTAACCGCCTAACGACCTACGACTAACTGCTTCTACTTGGCCGCATAATGAATTATATGCGTGACAGCTTGCTCTCTTTCTCTTGAGCACCTTCCTGATACTCGAAAGACTCGTAAATGTCGTAAATATTTGAGCCTACACGTACCTACGCATGAAATTACTGTTTGCGACCGTTCGGCTATACGTTATCTATTCATTTTCGAATATAATATTCTGTTAAATTACGGATAACTCTTTTGTCGTATGAGATGGTGATGATAGATGCTATACCCACGACTTCACGAGCCTCGTCATATAGTTCTCTTGGGCGTAGTATCATTCTGGGTTTGGACGTTGACTAGTAGTAGTTAATACCAGGCGATAAGAAGCGTTCAACATTCGAAGATACCTAAAAAACGCATTAGATTATTATAAAGTGATCCATCAGTCCTGGATTAGCCAACATCAGGCCATCAGAGTTACGTGTGTATATATACACATGCGTACAACTCAGTGGAGCTTCTTTAGGTTAAGGCTTGTTTATTTCCTATTAGTTATAAACGAAGTGTACTGTGCAATAAACTAGCGCACATTATTGAGCTGTTACCATAATTGGGATCCTATCCACTGATCATACATTACAAGGAGAAGTTCAACCTGGATGTAAGGGGATCGTTTGAAAAATTCGTCCGAAATGGCTGATCTAGATGTAAGTAACTTGTCCTAATATCTTCAAAGGACTTTACTTAAATCTGGTGACATTGTTCAATAAGTGATATTTGGACTAAGGCTATGGCAGACAATTTCTGAAGTAGCCCAAACAGCTAAGTGGGTTATATCATAAATAAGAGAGCACTATATTGCAGTAATGTTTAGTGCGAGGGAAAGAGAATCTTGCCAAAATGACCTTTGCTCTGATATTTCAGATGAAATTATCTTAGCGAAATCGGATTTACCATATCAGAGTCAGCACTTGGCTACCATTAATTTTCGGTTTCTTGCCTGAGGCCGGAACTTGCACTGTGTATGCTTTCTGAACGTGTGTTTTGCGAAGTCGGAGATCATCGGTAGTCTACCTTTCAGTTTTTACTATATTTACTAATTAGAGAACACTTGTTCTTATCGATCCTGATCACGTTCAGTGCGGCGTATCATTCATTACTTTGTAGCATGTGTCCAAGTTATATCCAGATACTCTATTATAAGTAACTATTTTAACGAATTACATCAGCTATTGCTTCACATTTGTTGGTCTTCTTCGGAGCGTTTAGTCTTGCTTTAGTATCACCTAGCGATCCATATTTGAAAACGACGTTGCATAGAAAAATCTTCTGCGGAGGCTGTCCTTCAAAGAAACTATGAGGCGAATAGTTATTTCGAAATAGTAATGCGGGGCCTGAAGTCGAAAGAGAACTTGGCTTATATACATATACACAAACATACGTCTATAAGAAGCAAGAAAGAAATATACATATATTTCTCTCTTGCGTCTTCAAGCAAATATATATATATATATATATGTTTGGTTCAGTTTTATAAAATGAGATTTACGCGTGGCACTCGTAGTCCAATATGCATACGCGACAGCTGCTATGAAAAGAGATCGCTCATGCAAGACATTTCCTTTAGCTCTGGTTCTGGTCCCGGTAATATCCCGAACAAATTTTCGGTGGGATCAAACTTTTCTTATAAACGTCATAATCGATTTATCAATAGTATTAAAGCAACCTATGTTTCGATCATGCGACCCAACTGTTGAGGATTTTGTTGGGATTTTTTCACGCGTCGGCTCTGCTTCCCGCAACATATATACAGAACACTCTGGCGTATAAATTAGGACCCATCCCATTAAAAAGCTGCTGGAATCCAGTTAAAACGTTATATATTTTAGCAAAGCAGACGTAATGACAGCCAGCTATTTAATTGTATTCTGAGAGTTGACATTGACGCTAGCTACGCAATAGTCTTGTTTCGCTTCCGTACACCCCCGTTGTTGGAGTGTAGAACGTCGGTGCTGTACACTACGCGCCCACTCACCTTGATCGCTGTCTGCTAATTGGGTGGTAAGTTGTTGGAAAAACGCGAAAGTTACATGAAAGCGTAATCTACCTTCAAGTCAGACTCGAGAAGCGAAATTTACTGGATAACTTGGACGTACCACACAGCACGAAACATGCTCTGGGATATTTTGATTGGCGCCCAGAACAACCACGGCTCTGTGAACGTCTGGGAGTATTTATGGGTACGACAGGTTCCTGTCACATTCACATTTCCCCGTTGTACCTGACGGGGTCTGGCAGTGGATTTCAATAAATAAACGTGTTTAATATGCATACGAAGTAGATTTGAAGCTCTACCACAAAGGGAGGAAAAGCAAAATATACATATTTTTGGTACACGTTCTTTGTCAGTATGATGAGCTCGATCTAACCGTTATGTTTGCAGCTATCTCGCATTATACCGCGAGTGGACTTATACCTGGCCGCCTTTCGATTTCGCATTGATTTGGATATTGGCGAGCGCATAGTCATCAATTTTAGGAGGCAACTTGGTATGTCGTTAACTAGATTTTCCTGCCGTAATAAGTATATATTTGGGAACGTGACTAAGGGACCTAAATTAACGACAACTAAGCACTAGTCCTATTATCGACACAACAAGGAGCAAAGCTACCCTGCAGACCTAAGGAAACGGCTGAGAAGATATCGAAGACAATACTAAACGAAGCTCCTACAGCAATAAACGATTCGTGCTTTACGTTGCATCTCGTTATACCCCAATGACCAATGAAAACGGGCTGTTATGGTTTGTTTGGTCCATCGATCTTTGTCTAGACGAAAGGTAGGCGATGAATCAGAAGGCAAAGTACGTAGACACGGCTCGTATCACGCGTTCATGTTGCCAACGTAGTGTCCATCAAAGTTTTATACACTTGTAGGACACAGTTTCTTTCGAATATGAAAATTATTAGGTAAGGAGGGTACTTATGAAAGCGTGCCATCGGCGAGAAGCGAGCTGGCTAATATTTCAGCAAAAGACAAAAAAGAAATAACATGTACTATTGCTTCAAAGAGACGCATGGATTACAAATCAAAATAAAAAGAATATATTTAGCCTGGCGTTCATGCACGCTATGCGTACATATACAAATACGCTCTCCATTAAACAGTGTTCATGTTAACAAGATCCACATTGACAGTCATATGGCCCAAGCATTAACGCCTGCAGCGTCTCTACTCTTAACTGGGATTGACGCTTAAGTCAGTGCTTGGACCTTATTCTAGTTCGGTTGAATCGTTTCCTTAAACTATCGGTAATAGCCGCCTTTTCCTCGTTTTTTTATGCAGCGAAGCCCAAGTATAATTGTTCCCCTATACATACGTGATTCAGGGTGCATTGCCAGAGGGCAATCAAATTCTAAGCGATCTTATCCAATTAGATATTGCGTCTGCTGCTATCGTATTATCTAGAATAGAGGACCACATCCTCTTCAAGATTGCCAGAAAAATTAGTTCGACTAAATAGCAGCGCAATTGATCCATATTTGATATTTTTGTAAAATATTCTAATCGTCCATCTATTTTAGTTTATTTGGTAGAAGTCAGAAGAGGAAGAAACAGCAAGGGTCCAACAGTCGAGCGGTCCTGGTTCTCTCTGTTCCTTGTTTTGATACTCGACCGCGGGTAACCCGCAATTGTTCAGCCCCTGTGTTACACAGTTGGCCCAAGTTATCGCGTAATGTTCCCCGACGTTGGCCAGGCTTTCAAACGGTAAGTAATGTCATGCAAATTTTGTTTTTCTTATATTCTGTGTTTGTTTCTACAGAGGCAGGCTGCGAACGAAGCTGGTGATACGACATGGTTATGGTGATGAAGAATCCCTGCTGCGTTTTGAAGACAACTGCACTGCGCCCATAAGCTTCCTGCGTTACCACATATGTTTAATACTTTTAAACAATAATTAGTACATACAACTTAAACGTAAGTTTCTTATTTGCAGAAAGCTTTGCAACTGCAATTGTACGATGAGCGCCTTATCTGGCAGGCTGGTTTGCGAAGAACCTGTAAACGGTTTTGGGTAGATAATTCTATGATTTTTATACGACCTGAAGGCGTAGGCGTCGTTCGAAAAATTACCTCTTTAAACAGATTGTCAAACTGCCTGTGGGCCACCGTTGCCATAGGTCGACTTTCTAGCATTGTTGTGATTGCTGCTTTATTTAATGTGCTTTTGCTCTTGATGCCCTCCTAGGAACGAGGACTCCGTCCTATGTTCTTCAAATGAAGAGTGAGTCCAAGTAACTATTTTCTAAATCCTGCATTGTTTGTATTTGTAGTTATATTTTTCTTATATTAGCTAATAATGAAGACCGGAACGTAATGTGCTTAGTTAATCTCGCGTGAATGACTGATCTCACTATTATTCAGCGATTAGGTAGAAATCGCATAAACAAATTTATGATGAACAAACATTGGTGCTTGGGGTCTCAGCCTTCACCAAAGGTAGCCACTGGGTCGAAAACATCTGTTCTTACTGAGCTATTTTTATACGTCTTTTAATAGTCCACGTTAGGTTAAAGGGTTGATTTACTTAGCTCAAAATTATCTCGTCCAAACTCACAGTCACCGATGGCATCCAAATTACGATCAAGCAGTATTTTTGAAACTACAAGTCGCCAAACCGGCTGGATGTCACCATCTCATGCCGCGCCCTCTACGTATTCATCAAGCATACAGATCTACCGGTTACTGTTATTGCTAGTCGAGCGGAACCTATTCCGGATTGAATGAGGAAATAAATGGTCGTGGCGGGACTTCGCGAAGGTTTCCGGAGTTTCTCGCCTTTCCTTTCTGGCCCTTCGGTCGTTTATCTCGCAGAATAAGGCGCACGAAAGGAACCAGGAAAGAAAGTAAAATATCATAGGAAACTGTGAGTAGATAACTTTGTGCTGACGTAAGCGTGACAAGTAAGTCGAACCGGTAGTTTATTTGTGTATCATCCAGAATAAGTACGATACCAAATGGGGACAGGAGTGCCTGTTATGATTAATCGCAATGGAAGCCCATGAATGTGTAGACAAAGCGTTAAACCAATATTTTTCGGTGAGTCGCTGATATTTGAAAATTGGATCTGTTCACGATTATATTGAATAAATAACGAGGGTGATGATAGAAGTGAACTATAAGTATAAATTGTAATCTTTTTTTTTTGTTTACATTTCAGTAGTAAAAATGAAGTCCTTTAACACATCTTCATTTATATCGAAGTGCAACGAAAATAAAGACGATTCCGATACAGTTTTAATCACCGCGATCTTATCAAGTATCGTACAATCGTAAGCGGGTCCTGCGCGAATTGAATTGGCAGGGAATGCTGTGAAGTGCGGTTAACAACCCTGATGGTTATGTACTGAGCCGTTTCCCGCGACAAGAACTTCACGATACCCGCGATAGTTCTGTGGTGGCTTGTCTGCGTGCTAGCCGTGATGATATATGCTGCATAGGATCGTTGACATTTGGCCGTAGGCATACTATATTTTAGGCCTATATTCGGTCGTCTGAAGCGATACTTAACAGCAATACCGGGCGTAAAACTCGAAACATTTATTTAAATATTATAATTAAAAGTACGGACGTTGATTTGAGGCTATCTTATTCGCTATATAGATAATTTTCTGCGTACAGATCATAAGCAAATTACCAGCCATTCAATCTAGTTGGCGCGAGGAATGAAGCGATTCTGTGCTCAGGTGACAGTTGGATTAGGACGACTAAGGTTTAATACGCGAGGCTTGGCCGTATGCTCTGTTAATGTTGGCCTTAGCAGCGTTGTTTTGTATTGTCTTGAACTGTGTGATTGATAAGTATCTACTAATGATGCAGCTCGAGCTAAAACAAAAATAAAATTCCCTTCCATTCTCATCGTTATTTGTTTCTAATGATGCTCGCATTGGCATCAGCTAATGGCAAATGGATCTTAAGAATACCCATTTAGATAAAGAGACTATTCATTCGATCATTTAGCGAGGCATCGACCGCCAAGATATTAGTCTGAAATACAAGAGAAACCTGTCTTCAAGCTTTCAAGCAGTAAATCATTATGGAATTAAAATGGCGTCCTTTTGTGCGCTTTGCGAATGCGGTCACCATTTTCGAGTGGCTATGGGCCATGTAGGGGCATAAGAGAAAAAGTAAGATCGTAATTACTTTCCAGAGAGAAACTGCCGGGTGCCTAACCTTACATTCGGAACTAAATCCTTAATTGGGCAGAATAATAATAATAATGATAATTTTTATGGGACAAAAAAACAATGGTATGAAAGGTAAATCTTCCTCATTTCCACCGTCCTATTTCATTTGCACTTTGTTCCAGAACTTCAGCTCCACTTTTCCTTTACTATACGCTTCCTCGTTGTCACTCCTCACAGAACAATACCCTTGATTTCAGCTCGCGTTTTGAGTTCTTCATTAAGTTACGCGTATATTACCCACGATCACTCTTAAATTAGACACGGCACTTTTAAGTGAAGATAGATACCGTTGAAGGATTATCCTCACAGTCTCACAGCCACCCACATACGTAGAATAGGTAGCCATATATATTTACATTTAGGACAATAACAACATCGTCGATGACATGAGAGAACGCTGGAGTGGATAGGGCCTAAACCAGTGTGTTTAGCGTACATAAATGACATAAAATGCGAACGTACAAAAGTGATTAAATGATGAACCCACTGCGTAGGGTAACAGATAAAATCAGTGGGTAGGTTATATCATATCAGACAGGATCTATCCGGCGTGCAGAAGTTACTTGAGTTTGTTGCCATTTTCCCGCTCTATTTTAAATAGAGGAAATGTTACGCTCGCATGATATGGCGAAAGATTCCTATTCAACTAAATGCAATGTAACAATCTTATATATTGAAATTCCCATATTAGGCAATCGCGCAGTAAAACGTCGATTGCGGACAAATTTGAACCCACTAATGTAATGCTACCTACCACTGTGTATGTTAAAACTCTGTTTTTCGCTAAAAATTTTTTTACTCATGCTAACAAGCTAGTGTTACGTAAACCTATAGCATTTACATTAAAGCTAGAATAGGAGAATACATCATCAAACTACCGCTTTAGCACAGATAGCATTATCTCAGACCCACTGAGTCGCTGAATCAGCCAAACACGTTCGTTTCATATCTCGAGCACAAAAAGTTTAGTTTGGTAAGTTAATTAAAGAGTCAGAATTCGACTCGGCTGTATACTAATATATGTTCCCTAGAAATAACATACCGTTTCCACAATTGTTCGCAATTCAAACTTTCTAAACTTGAATGTTCCGCCACGTAAAATTCTATTATCCTATTATTTTCTCGATACCAATCTAAATAAAAAAAAAAAAAACTGGAAGAGCACCTATTAATTAACCCACACATTTATTCGTGGGTTCCTTTGGCCTCCGTAGCGTAGTGCGGCAAATCGGGAACTTCGTATATCGAAGTTCGCTGGGCGCAGTTTTTTTTTGAAGCAGACAGCAACCTGCAGTGGGCCGCCGATAGCAGGTTCTGCATTTAAACGATAGCTTAGCAACTTTCAACCCTAACGCCTTGCCTTTATTAAGCGGACGTTTCTGTTATAAAAGGCTGTGTAAACAAACCTCCGATATACCCCCGATGTCTGCAGAGCCACATTGTCGACACTTTGCTCTTGTCCTAATCTAGTAGTTGCTGCTGTCGCCAACGTCTTTAGATGCTATTGAGCCTTGTAAGCGTCAGTGTGTTTGGTGTGGCTCTGAGACGCGGCTCTAGGAGCTTGAAAAATGTTCGAGTAGCAATACAGATGAGCAGAAAATTCTGTTTATTGGTTCTTCTGTTCGTTTGCAAATCGTTCCTCGGTTGACGTTTGTTCTGTGTGTATTTGTGCGCATTGCTGTTGCGATAACATAGAACATCAAATTCTTCAAATATATTTTACGCCCAAAATATTATTGAAACCGCGAGAAAATATTTGAAAAATACTCCTTCTAACCAAATTTGTCAGCTTACATTTGTCTACAGGTGGTATTTTTGTTCTCTATATGCAATGCTTTTAGTGTTAACGATTCTCTCAAATATGTATACCTTAAGCTTCGATTAATTGCCTAAGCAACACGTCTTTATTCTAGTATTTATCTCTATGTACTTTGCATGTCATAATCTACGTCCGTACTCCCTTTATGATTGCCTGTTCTAGATAGTTTAGCGGCCTATCGTAAATCTATGTCAATGTTAGGTAACCTCACTTTCCTCGCTATCACAACCATCTGCAGATTATGCGCTTCAGCGAGACTAAGGGGGCACAAAAATGCGGAGACATAAGGCGAAAGCGAAAGTCACCAGCAAAAGAATAAGCCCTTTCTCATTATCATTAACATGAAGCTGTGTGCATCGCACAGAAATAGGCCTATAGCATCATAGGAGCTATGACCTTAACTCTAAGTGCGATGCTAGCATAGGTTATTGTTATTTATGTAGGTTCATGTGGTATTCGAGGCTTTGCCTTTTTTTACCAGAGGGAATTAAAGGGTACGTTAAAGGTGAGATAGAGCAATTCGTTGCTCTGCAGAGAGAGCCGAACGACTTCCCACAGCCAATGACTCGTTTCTCTGATATAGGACAGTGTTTTCCCGCCCTGGTAGATCGCCTTTTGCAGCGGCGGTAAAAAGTGAAAAGGCACATTGAGTCACCTCTGGAATTGTACGATCAACGTACGGATGAGATCCGGTGTAGTGAAGTTGTCTAAATAATGTTCGGAAGCTACCGAGCGGGGAACGCTCAGAGGTCATGGCTTTCTAGTTGTCTTGATTCTTCATTCCTGATACGTTTGGTCGGGCGGTTATAATGGAGCAGTCCCTCGACGAGAGAAACTTGCCCCGATTCGACCCACGCCTGGCTGATTAATGTGTGGCGATTTGCGTACAGTGCATTATGCCGTGGCCATGTATCTGTTCATTGCTAATTTGAACACGGATGACTTCATAGAAAATGAGTTCGAACGAACGATTCGCTAGGTGAAAAGTAGAAAAGGCTACAAACGAACAGAAGCGAAAGGCAGCCAATAATTTCCTGAGTTGAGTCCGTCCCATTAAAAAGGTTTCGACCATGGATCATTGCAATCTCTGTTTCGATTCAACGCGACGATATGGTCGATAGTCAGGACGCTGGAAGCGGTAATACTGCTAGCAATATTGTCGTCTTCTTTCTATAGAACGTGCGTCGTTGATCCGTACTCGTAGGCGATAAGTAATTATATTTAAAAAAAAAAAGCCATCGCATTAATTTTTTCATTCTAGGAAAGCTGATCACTGATCAAAGTAGCTAATTAAATCGAACAGCCTGGTGGGACGCCTGTATATCTATAGGTCTATAACAAGCCTCGTCACCGTCAGACCAACTGGCTAATGCATTAAATAAAAAAAAAGCTGGTCGAATTTGCCATAGGAAAAAATAGAGGAAGCCTAATAGTAACGAAACAATTTTATCAATGGTTGTGATTTTTGTTACCGTATCAGTCAAGCACTATACATAACCTGCGAGAAAACTTCCCGAGTAGCGCTCATGTAGCTAAAGAAATCTATTCTAAAGCTGCCTATTCAAGATCAGTTACGCTGAGCTCAGCTAGTGCTGACCCAACGAACTAGTTAAGCACGTTAAGTTGTTCCTAGTAAACTTTCTATTATAACTTGACGATTTCAAAGATAGTGAACTGTAGTGTACACCCGTTCCATATTTCGCATCCTTCACTTTCGTTTATATGTCGAGACCGACTGTGATTGCTATGAACGGTATGCTTCCAGCGTATTTCTGAACTTCGCACAGAATTGATCTTGGAGAAGTCTACTGGTAGATAGCACCCATAAATTTTAAGGTGAGGTATCACGCAATAGGTAACGC